CTTTACACTGCAATTGCTAAACTCGATCGAAAGAAAATGTCAGTAAAGATTTTAAAATATTACTGATATGAAAACATTGGGCCACTTGTGCGGCTGCTAGCTGGCGTCTAAACCAATGAGCGAGTTTAGCGAATTTGGAGCGATAGGGATATTTTTTGCGTCTTTTTCGCATAGAGTCGTTTTATTATTGCGAGCATATTATTAATAATATTTTTGAACATTTTATGATAATGCGACGAGTTTTAATTTGTTTGTGAACACCTCTGTTGCATTTCATTCAAAAAAGATAAAAACCCGAGGAATCCATTAACTTATTAAAGTGTTCGCATTTTGAGCAGTCAATAACTTTTCCGAAATATATCCTCCCAGGGGAGACTTTTTATTAATCATTTTAGCATCATCCGTCCCACCCACATTGATAATTTTGAACTGATATCGCGTTTTTCGCACGCTAGTTTCATTTTCATTACGAATTCGCTTTTTAATATTTATTTAAAGGCGGTCGTGCGGAAGTTGAACATCTCTGTTGTATGCGTTTTTGTGGCTAATAAAGATCGGTAAAGTGAAATAAAGGGAAAAATCCAGGTACGTAATACAAGCACATCAGTGAAACTAATAACAACGGTTTTCTTCCGAAAAAAAAAATCTTCAGAAATTTATTAAAATTTTTGCGTGACGAGGAATTACACCAAGAACTCAATCATTCATCTGGAGAAGTTAAGTAATAACTGTTGATTATTTTAAATAAAGAAGAAAAAGGCTTTCAATAGATGTGGATAGTCAATCTTTGATTTCAAATATTTATATGAAACCTCACGGATATCTGCGTTTTAAAGAACGTAATTGAAATTCCACAACAGGGACTGCCCAAAATGTATAGCTGAAAAAGACTCCTAGTCCTTTTAGAAATTTCTGTTGCATGCTATATTGCAGTATATTTATTATACTGATTTTTGATTTCATTTACTTAAAATATATTTTGAGCGTTTGCTTTTAAGTTTTTGTTGCATATTATCGATATACGAAGCGAATGAAAGTTTTGATTATTACCAAGATCTTATTTATCTCTTTAAAGGTAGAAAAAAACCAATTATGTTGCATTTTCAGATACCACACCGCATTTTTTCTATTTGTGAACTTTTTGAGCCCTGTATAATAGATTGCAAAGAATTCAGGCGGGGTCAAAAAGTTATCGGCCCTATTTTTTTATCGAATACCCTACATATTATTTTTTATTTACATTGACAGCCATATACGTAAAGTATTCAAAAATACAAACCCATATACTGTTATTTTAAAAACCCATCCCGAACTTTTTTTTTTTTTAAAGGAAATTCGAAAAACTCCTCATTTTTTTCAGTTTTAAAAAGAGGTTAAAAGCAAGTAATGGTATTTGCCACACGTAGTATCTCGAGTAAAAGTTGGGTAAGAATTAAAAACAAAATATGTAAGTCTCTCTCAGAAAATATATGTGATAAAAAATTGAATACTGAAAGGTATATATCTGTAATATTTTCCATTATCCAGGAACGTTCACCAAAAAAATCTAACATAGATGATTTTATTCTTTTTAAACCATATATGTATTACTACACATTCCAGACTTCGTGTAGGAGATAATAATAGGTAAAGTCTGTTCATAGATATAAGAAAGTGACCAATTGATTTTCAATGGGATTATCCAAGGGTGGTCATTGACATACAATGCAATACCTAAAAGTTTCGGAATTTAAATTCAGGTGAAATTGTGGTCCGCAATTGAAAATAATTTTATACCTACCTGTGTTTAATATTCTTTGGTTTGGTATACTACTTAGTTTAAGTTTTATTAGTAATCATTCTTATTTCGTGTGTAATACAGCGTGTGTTGAATCGTGTGCGAATTATGCAAAAATATGTGAGAGTCTAGTGTATCTCAGGAGATGCTCCCGCCCAAATGTAGAAAACACTATTCTATTGAGACTAAGGATGTTATAAACAATGTTTATTTGACTCTCATTGAACGTGGTACCAGCAAGCAAGCATCTTTAGAAGAAACGGCCACATTGACGAAAATTCCAACATCAACTGTATGGAAAATGGTGAATAATCCCATTTCAGCGAGGAAGAAAAAGAAGCGCTGCTGAAATTTTCTCGAGTGTAGATGAAAGTGATCAAGATATAATACGGCGTAAAATTTACCAGTTATACGAGGAACAAAGCGTGCGCATTAGATATCTTAATTAATCTTTTTTAGTACTACAAACGCACGTCTGATTCAGATTTGTAAAATGTTTGCAGTAAAAGTGATGTATATGGCCGGGCTTGCAATTTAACTTACTTACAATTTTTGTATTTAATTGTTTATGGTATATTTTCTGAGAGTGTCCTAAGACAAACGGGCCATTATATTTACATACAACATACAACAATAGGGAACTTGGACAAAATTTTAATATGAAAAATATTGTTTATAAAAATAAGTTTATACTATTAAAAAACCACAGTTAAAAAAAATGTCGTAGTTCTATGTAACAAAAATAATCAATTACAAATTGTAAAATTTAATTTTTTAATTTATGCGCCAGCCGGACGGTAGCATAGAGAACCCATTAGGGAACAACAACGCTTTCGTCTTGGTTAGTTTACGTTTTGTTATCTTGTGTTTGGTGTCAAAAGAAAGTTTTGAAAATGACCGAGGTCGATTTTTTAAAAGGTCAATCTGTTAATTTACCTTTAGTGGATATGCTAAAATTTTTAAGTTTTTAAAATTCAAATGGTATATCAAATAAAATGTAAATTATTCAACGAAAAAAATAAAAAGGATTTTTTTTAAACTAGTGGAAAGTTAAATGCTGATTTTAAAGTATATTGCCATTGATAATTTAAAGTGTTCTTTATTTTATATATATCACGAGCCATGGAGACTGTAATAGGATCGGTGCAAAGTCGAAGAGTTAAAAATGTTTGCACGGTTAGGGATAAAGTGACAACTGCATATAATCTTCACAAAAAACAACGGCTTTTTCTGGAAGACGAATAAAAAGTTTATCTGGCGTTTTACGGATTGTACTCAATATAGCTTTTGTGTTGCCTCCATTATTATCATGTAAAGCACACTAAGCACGAATACAAACCAGCGTAGATTAATTACAAACACACCTTAACACGAGCCAAAAATAAACGTAAATAATATAATTCTGGGCTTATAACCTGAGCAAAACACTATAACATGTCGCCGTATCGATCGAAAAGCAGCGGTATGACGTCATCATCTTTCCCGCGCGTTTAGTTTCGTTTAAAAGGAATAGCCGGGTGTTACAACATGAATTTTTTATTGCAACTTAAATATTATGTTTTGAGTTTTGATATTTGCTACGCGTTATTTTTATACATAAACATATATATTAAAGAAATTAAAAAATGTTCAAGTTCGCTATTGGACGACTGATCCCAAGTCGATTGTTCGTAGGTAATAGTAATCTTATATGCATTCATTTCAAGAGATTGTAGAACCTATCGTCAAGATTATGGTGCAATGTTGAATGAATAAGCTAACGAAATTGAAAAACCACTGAGTACTGATTAATGTTGTTGTTGATTTTTTAAAAAGCGCACCTACGTCGCACACCTACAATATCAACGTTTTGTTAAAAAACAAACAACGCCGGCGTGTTGAGCTCTGAAGCACGTGTCTTATCACCATCGGACGGTGATAACTGCTTCAGCCTCAATGGTATGTGACCTGAAAATTCCTAGGTCAATGCCTTTAAGTTTAAATGGTTCGGTTTGGTTGCCTGGCTGCCGCGCTCACGCTGTTGCCGATATCGGATGTTTTTAATCAGAATCAAAGCAAATTTTTCACAACCAACCAAAATGTCTAACTGGGAGCGAGTATTTGAGGTCAACAAGAAACAAAATACCTTAGATTCCATTTGATAAATACTTGAGATATGATGTTTTGAAATCTCAAATTTAATGAAAGATATCCGGGGCACCCTGTATGTTTAAGACTTTTCAGCTCATGATACAGGGCGGATCACAAGCTTTTAGGGACAAACTTAGCAGTTAATAGGAAACATTTTTTAAATTGCTGCGTTATTGATATGTAGCATTTTATGCCTATTATATTTTAAAGTAAAGTCAATTACTAAAAATAGTTACTTCGAAAATTAAAAAGTATATAATTTTCTTATAAATTTAAGACTCTGCAGCTCTAAGGAGGCATGCGAATGAATTTTTTTCTTACAAAAATCCTCGATCCTGCCCAATCGTAGTTTGTCACAAAAAACCTGATCCACCCTATATATTTCTCCAACGAAATGAACTATTAGGTTGGGTTATGGTAAGCACGTAGACGAAAACAACCGCCAGATGATATGGAACAGCAAGCAAGGCCGTCCTGTGGGAACATTTAAACGGGAAATGAGGAATTCCAGGCTCGAATTGTAAATGTACTCATCACTCTTGACATTCGCGAGATCCTTTAATTATAGCGAGCTGGATCGTTTGTCTAGATTAATTGTTTTTTTAATTAATCCATGTGGCTACTCTATACGAATCCGTTCGGTGTGTCTTTGGCTACAACAATACGACTCTGGATAACTAGATACTACAAGATGTCAGATGGAGCAATAAATAATGTTCTGCGTTCACAAGTGTGAGAAACTGATAATTAACTTTTCTTAGGGCGACAGTACCGAGTCGTTATAATGGGAGAAAAAAATGTGCCTACGGCCAAAACATCAGAAATGGACTAAAAGTTTGCGCTAGCTTTAAAAGAGGCTGAAAACAGGATATTACATTAATGTCAATATTATATACCCAGTGGTCGTTACTTTAACGAATTAGTTCGTTTGTTTATAGTGAATCGGGCAGCCGATGCGGTGTTGGTTGTGCGTGCTTCATTCCAGTGTAAAGTTTTTTTTCCACAAAAACCACCGAGTGGTGCGAATTGAAATAGGTAATGGCATTCTAGTATTTAGAGAAATTGATTTTATCGAAACCAGATAAAAACTTACCATAAACTTTTCCAAACGGAAAATCCAGCGGCGTGCAGAGGCAAGCTAACGGCAAGGCCCTCGGGGAAATTTTGAATGCCGATACCCAGAGCAAGATTTCTGGAAAGAACAAAAAAAAAACAATTATATTTTTATACTTTCGCATCTACAGCTTGTAATTTTCAAACAGTTTTACGGCATCTGAATCTCACCTTATCTTCCATTCAAAATTGATATACAATATACTTATATATTTATATTCTTTTCAGATTTATGAGAAACTAATTTAAAAACAGTTTTACTTGTTGAATTAAAAAAGAACTGTCTAGGAATGTTTAGATGAATGCGAAAGCATGTCTAAAATAAAAGTTTAGCAATAACAAAAGAAATAATAGTAACCGCTATGTGCAAATAATGAAAAACACTAATTAAACCAATAAAATTCAATCAACCATTTTTCTTTACTAAATTTAATAGTTAACGCGATAAATCCGAAAAACAAGATTAAAACCCAGGAAAGAAGCGTTTCATTGTAAAGCATAAAACCATTAGCGATAAACGAAATTACGTACTGAAATATAGAACGTATCCTTAGAAAATAAACCATATTACAGGGTCACTTAATACCAGAGAAATTCCGGCAAAATTCAAGTACGGAAAAGTATAACACCTTTAATAAAATGTAAATATGTACAAGGGTGAACAAAAATTGTTCCAATTCGGTGTATGAAGGTTCATTTTATCGTATATTTCAAATAAATGACAAGGTTTAGAATTAAAAAAAAATAGAGCAAATTTTGAAGGGATATATTAAAAATACAGGACGTTCAACTGCCATCATTTGTTTCGGATGTTAACAAAACAGAAAACTAACGCTGAATATTAATTTGTGTAGCACCAAAAACAAAGAATAGACTGTTTAGACTATCACGAAAAACGTTTTAAACAATTCTTGTGACTCATTGTTATATCTGATCATTGTTATTTTAATTTGTTCAATGCGTTCTTTTGTTTTTTCGCCAATTCTGCCTACCTAATAAGTTCTTTAAAAGACCCAAATGATAAAGTCCTACATTATTACATTTTTAACAAGAAAAGGATAGACAAGCTATTAAAAAAATCAAAGCTTACCATAGTATAAAGGTGTTTTCTTTAACATTTATTATTTTTGAAATTGTAATTGTAATAAATCATTAAAAATGCAGTAAAAGAGGCTATTTAAAAGTAAAACAACCCAATATGGCGTCTATAAGAAAAACTGTCGTACATAATATAACGAAAATAGACATTACAAAGATAAAGACAAAGATAAGATAACAATTTGAAACACTCGGTATAGAAATTCCGAAGCAATTTCGTTGTCACAAGCGCAACGACAAAATGCGATATGGTTGCGGTGGCAGTTTAGAAAATAACTTCCACACACCACGTGAGTTCCAGCGGGTTGTGTGAAAATAAGAAACAGGAAACTGCCTACGTCACGCCACTTTGCATGAGAGTATTGTTCTTGTCGGTGGTGACATAATGGTCTGAAAAAAGCCAGTTTGTCTAATGAGAGTGCAAATGTACCTCGCTGCGATACGCACATACACAACATTTTAAAAATATTTTACAGTTTCTTGCTTATGTAACATATAGTATAATAGTGCATGGAAATTATCAAAAAATAACACACAGGGAAAAAAATACAAAACGAATTTAGTAAAAGAAGCGACCAGGATTGAGCCAAGTGTCAGTTTTAAGCATCAGCTCGTTAAATACTATTGCCACCCACTTCAAGTGTTCTTGGTACTTTAGTCACGGGTAGACTTAGTGAAAGGTTTCGATATTAACTCCGGCTAACTAAAGTACCGTTTGTTGCACAACTTACTATTAGCGGTCCAATAGATTAAACAATATTTTTCTACATTTATCTAGAGTATGTTTCGCTTTTCGTATTTACATTTAAGCTCACACTATTCGCTGGTTGGAAAGCTTTTATGTAATTTCTAATTGGCTGCACTTTTCCTAGAAAAACACTAAAAAGCGGTTGTTATCCTCGTTCGCGCTCTTAAGAAATTCCTTAACCATAGGAAACGTTTGTGTAATTCTTTGTCGACACCTGCGATTTGGATGAATAAGTTGAAACAAAATATGCCCGGTTTTTTTACACCTCTGAAACCGCTTTTGTTACGGATACGAACAAATCCGTTGCAGTATGACGATATTATTGAGAAATTAAAATGCAATTCCCTTATGCACAGCGTATTGCGATGTCCCAATTGCCCGTCGTTCTTCACTATAACCAAACTGAAGAGAATGTCCGCAAAACCGTACAAAATCAAAAAATTAATTACGATTTATTAAGCAAAGTTTTGATTTGTTATTTGCTTATTCCTATGGATGATCACGAACCTTGCCTTGTACATTCGATTTGTCATTAACAGATTTTTAAAAGACTCCTTTATAATGCGAAACGAATCTAATGGTACGTACTGGTCAGGACAAATGTCCTAAAACCGAATTGCTACACAAAATTATTCCCCTGGGTCAAATAAGACTTTCGGATAACTCTTGTAATCATTTAATATTCCTTATAACGCATTTTCGATTACACCACGTAAAGTTTCTGGTTGAAGACTCAGTATTTCGTCTCAAATATTATGCTTCAGGTGCCAAAAATATCACATAACAGACCCACAGTTTCCCTAGCAGTGCCCGCAGTAGCACAATTTGAATTATATATGGGTAAATCTTAAATAGTCAATCGGCTCCAGTGAATCAATATTTCGATCGGTACCTATCGATAATTTTAACCCTTTGTTGTGAACTGTAAGCTTCGATATTCCGTATTCCATTATAAACTAAAAACAGGAAAAAATAACAATACCAAAAATTAAGTTATTTGTATGTTAAAATGGCATTGAGAAAAAAAAAAGAATGTTTATTTTAAAAGAAAAGATCAAGAAGAAATGTTTTTATAGAAACAAAATTTTCCGCAACAAAAGTTTTTTTTATAGGACAATCGACATTACCTTTCGTCGGAATTTCCCTTTACCCTTTAAAAGTGTCCAATTTGGAACACACTGTACACATAGTGGGATATATTTTTATATTTCCTTAAAATTGACACTTCCATAAGCAAAATTGATGGATTGAAGTGTCCGTTTACGGGAGCTTTCACCGTATTTTATTTACTGTAAATTTTGTTGTCTTTAGTAAAGTAAGTGCTAAAAAGGAAAACTTTACAGCAATAACAAAACTGGGTATCAGAGGGTAAGTATTCGAAGCATAATTCACATTGCTTACGTAATTAGAGTTCAATGTTCTAATTACATAAAAAAAAACTTGTGGAATGCATTAAATGTTTTGTAAATGTAAATTACAAGTAAGTACATTGTTGGTATTATAACGCTTGGTAGCATTGAGAGTTATCAACAGTTTCGCCCGAACGCAGATTTTCAAGTTGTCGGTAAGCATATATCCAACTGACAAAGACGTTCAAGGAGGAATCAAAATATTGAAAAATATACAGAGCGCTTCGTTTTTAAGTACTTGGATAGCTAGTGACTAATCCAAGTTCTAGGTGATTGAAAAATGAAACTCAATACGCGGTAAATGCGGGAAACCCCGTGATGCTGATTAATGTCAAATTCCGTATTGGAAAATCAAAGCATAAACGTCTTGTATCAATTTCGTATTCATTTACTAAGGAAGAATACTTTGACTGGTATTAGTTACTACTGAAATTACATTGCGGTTCATGATCAGGCAAATATCGGGAACAGCGGTGAGTGTCTACAAATGGTGAAGAAAATACATTTGCGCGTCACAGCACACTACGCAGAGAAATGAGGATGAAGAGGATAATTTATCAGAACTGTCGACGCTGAGCGTACGCTATCAGCCACCGGATAGATGAGATAAGACATTACACATGTTATCTTCCTTCTGAAAATACTTCCAAATCCAAAATCCAAATTTGATATGACTAGGTTTTAAACTGCTTGAACTGCTGAAGTACTTTTCTATATTGTATTGTTCCGATATGAAACAAATACTCTTCTGCTACTATAATATGTTTCTAATTACATAAAACGTTTTTATTATTGTGTTTAATAAGTTGCGTATAAAGAGCATTAACAGTGATACTTCCGAAAATCGATAAGGTAACGGTAGGTCCTAGGGGACCGTCGTTGATCAGCGTCGAAAATATTTTTTTTTTGTCTGTTGGACCGTTCTCTGTTCTCATCGGCGTCCATTTGAACTGAGGGATTCTGAAGCATTCTAAAAAAAGTTTGCAAGGGTCTACAAAAAAGATCATTTTTCAAAAACCGTTTACGAGACCAAAAAAATTCTTCAACCAAAAGACGCAGAATATACGGCTCCATAAACTTTTATTCTTGACAATTGGACCAGGAAAGGTGGAAGATCCAGGGCTATAACATTCAATTGCGAATTGAATTCAATTATGTGCAGGGTGCAGCGTGTGTCAATTATGGGTAAAAAAAATCTAAAAGACCCTAAAAATTGCCGTTTTCGTGGATAAATTATAATATAAACATGGTTAGAGAGAGAGAGAGAGAGAGAGAGAGAGAGTTTCAGGTTTTGTCCATCATACAGGGTGCGCGAGGTACTTGGAATAATGTAATTGGAAATCGTTATTACTTGTACAATTTTTTCTATTCATCAAAATTTGTCGTGACTTCGAAATTTGGCGACAAGTAAAAGACGCTTTGTACAGGGATTGTACAGAATATAATTACTTCAATTTTGCGAATTTTCGAAAGCAATCTTGTTTACAATCCCTCAATCTTGCGGATCCGCGAAAATGAGAGCTTTAATTCCACGGGCTTGCAGGATAGGATTTTCTACTCGAATAGTTCTTGTACAGACAGATGAATGACAGCGACATATCTGAACTTGCTGTGCGATTGCGTCCGAAAACTGAAGCGAGAAATATCGGAGTGGAAGCGTAGGTTTGTTTAGAACTAACCGAATCGTTAACGTTCCATCGCCACCCCGTAAGGGTGGTGCAACGGAGTGCCGCGGGGGGTCATCGACCGCGAATATGTCACTCTAACTGTCCGCAAATTCGCGGACTGCCGCGCCGACCGACCGTCGATTCCGGGAATCGCCGC